ATCTTCAAATATAGTCTTATTGGGGGGTGAGACCTTCAACATACAAATTACACAATTCAACCCACAAAAGGGCCATTAATCAGACAGCAATGGATTAAGGAGAAAGTAAGAAATAGAAAATGAACCCAGTGGAGAAAGTCAAGCTCTCTGAGACATTTGACAATGCAGGAGAAGAGAGAGGTTGTCATTAATTTTATCATTGTTAAGAGAGCAAGTGACAAAGTAGGAAGAACATGTTTTGTCCTTAAAAACTTGGATATAGATCTTTTCTTTCTTTTTTTTCTCCTGTGTTACATCTCACCATTTATCCCCCCCACACACACTTCTATGAGACTCAGTACTCACATGTGTAAAGAATGGACAATTATAGCTCATTTTGGAGTTACTGCAAAGACTACCATAATATCAATAGAGCCCACCTCCTGACATATAATTGGAGCTCAGTAAATGCTAAGCACTATATTAAAATCCTCCCCACCTCCAAATGCATGCTCTTCGGTGGTGACTGAGTCACATCATGTATTTCTCTACAGAATTGCACTGTGCTCTCCACAGAGTTTGCCTCCAGGAATCAGAGTTTGGATTGGGTTAGATGCTGTTGCATTTTTAATTTATCATAAGCTGGTGATTGCTGGTGATTCCAGGTGTGTGTTTAGAGCCTGTCAGCCTCCTGGAAATAGAAATAGCCCTTTGGCAGGCAGGAGTCATTACAAAATAAGGTACCAGTGAGCTGGGAAAACAAGCGAGCCTGAGGCAGGCACTTCAAGTGTGCTGCTTTGAATATTGCATGTGCTGCTTATCCTATCACACATACTTAACTCAGTTGCGCTAACCTCTGCCAGGTCTGTCATCTCAGTCTTGGCATCTGCAAGTCTGTGACAGCTGGGGAAGCAACTGTGCTGGGTGTGTGGTTCAGACTGCTCTGTGGTTGCAAAGGCCAAAAAGTTAATGCGCTGTTTTGTTTCTTTCTAGTAGAAGGTCCATTAGGTCTAGAGAAGGTTATGCTGTGATTCAAAGGCTACTCAGAAAATCTGATTAAAACTTCCTGGACTTCTGTCTTGCTGTATTTCTCAGAACAATACACAGTCAAGACAGTGATTCCAAAGAAGGCATTTAAGGGCCACCAGTGGTCTACAAACCTCAGTCTGAGAGCAACTAAGATCCCAGGGATTCCAGAAGAATGGAAACTCTAGCAGCAACATCATTTGTTTATTGATTCACCAAATAATTCTTGAGCCACAATGGGATATGAGACTCTGTATCAAGTCCAGAGGATATTCAGATCTGTAAGATACCATCTTTAAGGAACTCACAATAGAGAAGACAGACACAAACTGATCACAATGTTTTGCTTTACATGCTGGGTGAGAGGTGGGTAGGGTGTAGACCTCTGACCAGGGTGTCACCAGTCTACATGCTGGAGCAATTGGGAAGGCTTTAGAGAGGCAGTAATATTAGAACTGGTCATAAAAGATACACACATTTCACCAGGTGAGAAAAGAACTGAGGAATATTTTAAGCTGAGGAAATGACATTCTACATGGTTCATAAAGAGCTTATACCAGGACATTTTTTGAGAAGGCAGAGTCTTTCTATTTGTTTTGGGGTTTTTTATAAGTTTTTATTGTTCATATTATTACAAATGTTCCTTTTTTCCCCCCCACCATTGCTCTCCTCCACCAGGTTCCCACCCCACCCTCTGCCCTTTCCCCACTCCCATTGTCCTCATCCATAGGTGCCAGTTTATGTTCAGTCTCTTCCCACGCCCCCCTCTCCCCTTTTCCCCAAGAATCGTCAGTTCATTCCCCTTCCATACCTCTGATTCTATTATATTCAACAGTTACTATTGTTCATCAGATTTTTTTTTATTTCCTTGGTTTTTAGATTCACTTGTTGATAGTTACATATTTGTTGTTCATAATTTTTTATCTTTGTTTACTTTCTCTTCTGAAAGAACCCCCTTCAGCAGTTCATATAATTCTGGTTTGATGTTGATGAACTCCTTTAGCTTTTTTTTATTATTGAAGCTCTTTATCTGACCCTCGATTCTGAGTGATAGCTTTGCTGGATAAATTATCTTTGGCTGTAGGTTCTTACTATTCATCACCTTGAATATTTCTTGCCATTCCTGTCTGGCCTGCATGGTTTCTGTTGAGAAGTCAGCTGACAATCGTATAGGTGCTCCTTTATAGGTAACTACCTTCTTTGCTCTTGCTTCTTTTAATATTCTCTCTTGGTCTTTTGCTCTTGGAATTTTAATTATGATGTGTCTAGGGGTGGTCCTCTTTGGATTCCTTTTGTTTGGAGTTCTGTGCGCTTCCTGGACTTGTAAGTCTAATTCTTTCACCAGGTGGGGGAAGTTTTCTGTCACTATTTCTTTCAGTATGTTTTCGATATCTTGCTCTCTCTCATCTTCTGGGACTCCCATAATTCTGATGTTGGTTCGCTTGAAGTTGTCCCAGAGGTTTCTTACATTATCTTCAATTTTCTGGATTCTCTTGCCTTCTAGCTTCTGTGGAGGAGTGTCCTCTGGCTCTTAATGTTCCAAATCTTTGACTTGATTCTTGCGATCTTCCCTTCTGTTTTTAAGACTCTGTAAAATATTTTTTATTTCAGACAATGTATTCTTTATTTCTTGTTGATCCCTTATCATTTCTTGATGACTCCTTATTAATTCTATCAATAGTTGATCTCTTTTCATATCCTCATAGGTCTTATCCATCTTTTCTAGGAAATTCTTGAAAAACCTTATAAGTATAGATTTGAACTCTATATCCAGACGCTTTTTGTCCTCCATTACTTTCGTTTGTGATCTATTTTGTTGTCGCATTTCGCAGTTACAGATGGGACGGGGTTTCAGGGTCTATTTGTTATTGTTTGTTTACATTAGATCTGTTCTGTGAAACTTATTTCTCCATTGGCAGCGACAATAACTAGCAGGCAGCTCAAGTCATTGGATTCACAGCAGTGGTAGGGAATACCATCTTCCTTCATTCTCTCTGCTCAGCACCCATGGAATAGAATCAACTTGTTTGCATCAATGAACAGGGAAAATTGGAGGAGGCCATTCTGGCATTTTTTTTTTTTTCTTGCCTCATAAAGCCCAGCCTGAGGTCAAGCTGTTCTAGCTGCCTTTCATTGGCTACTTTCTTTTCACATCCGTTAGAGGCAAACCATCAGAATTCTCGATTTTATCCTTGTCAGCTCAGAGTGACTCTTGGACTTGATATTTTTTTCATGTCCCTCTTCTTATTCTTACCCATCAATCACTATTCTGCAGCTTTTCCAGATCACTGTTGTAAAATAAATTACTTTGATATGAAAAGTACAAAGCAAATGTTTGCTTTCACATCCTCTTTTTCATGTTGACAAGCATAACCATTCCGAGTATTTGTTTCATTACCATTATTGGTCTTTCGTAAACCCCATGAGGGCAGTGAGGCGGACATGTGGCGATCAGACTTCCCCTGACCTTCATGTTTCTGCTAAGTGAGAGTTCTGGCCTAGATCTCTACTTCAGTGAGACAGGACAGTAAGTGGGTACACATGTTAGTGAAAGGTAGAATTATAATTTTTTTGGCTAATTTTATTGGGGTGACATTGGTTAATACAATTACATGTTTCAGGTGCACAATTCTATGATACATCATCTGTTAATTTGTGCTGTGTGTTCACCACCACCCCAAGTCAAGTCTTCTTCCTCTACCCTCTTCTAGCTCCCTCCACCCCTTCTCCCTCTGGTAGAACCAGAGAAGCAGTGTTACTAAGTATAAAAAATGATGTGACTTCTGTAATCAACAAGGACTACATTTCCAAATGACACATGCAAAGTGGAATTAGGGGTACTGGTGGCCAAGTCCAGCGTTGATGAGAAGAAGCTACTCTCCTGAGCTTCAGCCCTTGAAGTTGGGAATCTGTAGCCAAGAGGAAGGAATATGATGGAGGGAAAGCCTGGCCTCAGCTCTAGGCTTATATGTTTCTCTCTCTGATGAGTTTCTTAGCAGAGGTTTGAGCTGAACTATGGCAGAAGAATTTCTTAGGCCTCCATTGGGCCCCACTGCAAAGAGCTAGACCTCATTAAGGATGTTGTACTTTTTGAGATGCAAATACCCAGATCCTATCATATCCCAACACCTCCCAATGAACCTAATGCAAATATGCAGATGTTACCAGATGTTACTTGGGGGGAAGAAGGGTTCTATGGACAAATACCCTTTGGGGTTAATTGCGTTAAACAAAGCTAAACAGAATTATTTGCTGCAAGTTCTCTCTAAGCCACATAGTCCTGTGTTTTGCTCCCAAACTCTGAAAATGTTTACATTTTCCAAATTTATATAAGACTGAAAATTAGTTTGCATAGAGCACCTTAGAGAAATGTAGTAAATATATAATTCACAAAGTAAAGTGCAATATTCTATAATTTATCTGTAGCTGTGGAGTTCCTTGTCTGTAAAATAGGGTTTGGCCAGAAGTTCCCATAGGTGCTGGTCCATCCAGCCTGTACCCATGGAGACTGGGTTTATGCCAGACATACTGGCCACTGATTTTTCTCACTTGATCTGACTACTTTATTTGCAGCCCCTGGAGAAATACTTTATTTCAGAAGAATCCTTGTTGAGTATTAGCAAATGCCTAACTCAGATACAAAGGCGATATCATTTGTTATTAAACTAAAATCCTATTTTTATAACTAGTACTTGTTATATATTCACAAATCCAATGTTTTAAGTTTTCCATTATTTTTTTTTCCAATTTTCAAACTTTACTGGGAAATGTTAGTATGTAATGTCTAATAACTAGAAACTATGAAAACATATTATATAATATTAGCTCGGCTTTGTAGTCTAAACTCTGGGAAATATTCATATTGATTGGCAGTGTAAGAACCATCCTTCTGGAAAAATAATAGGCATGTACAGTAGTAAATGCACCTTTGTTTTCCTGAATAAGCATTGGGAAGCCCTGGCTGTTCTAAGACTCTGCTTGGTTTCCCTCCACAGACAGCGTGGAGGATGAGCTGGAGATGGCCACCGTCAGGCATCGGCCTGAGGCTCTTGAGCTGCTGGAAGCCCAGAGCAAGTTCACCAAGAAGGAGCTCCAGATTCTTTACCGAGGATTTAAGAATGTAAGAACCTCCTTTTTTGTTTTACCTTCACCTCATTCTCAGAGGAACATAGAGAAGAGAGAGGAAAAGAGGGCAATATACAGTTCTGGAAGTGCCCCCCATCTGCACATTTCATACCAGTCTTTCCTAGATGTGATGATTGTTGTGGCCATTTGGACTATGACTCACTTGGGCACACCAACACTCATACATTGTAGGTACACATAAAGCAAGAATGAGCAAAGGAGAAATGCTTACTCGATTCAATTCTTAGTATTTTTTTCCTTTCCAGCCATCTATAATAATAAAAGTGTAATAAGCTAATTAGACCAGACGTCCTTCCAGATGACCTTCCGGTTGAAGCCAGGGTGGCAAGGGAAGCCCATGTCCCAGGTTCCTACCAGTGGTCAGAGGGAAGCCAGGGTCCCAGGTTCCTGTTGGCAGCTGGAGAGAAGCCTGTGTCCTGGATGCCACAGGGAAGCTTGGTGCCCACAGCGGGGGGAAGGAAGGCCTATTCCTGCATGAATTTTGTGCATCAGGCCTCTAGTAATAACATAATTTCAATAAGCCCCAATTATCTCTTCATTTTTAAATGATAGTCTGGTGTTTGACTTGAAAATTGGCTATAAATCGAGCCCATTAAGGAAATCCCTCCCTTGCATTTGGGGAAAGATCACTATAAGTTCAGTAGCTCCTAAAAGACCATGCTGCCACTGACTGTCCCACAAGTGTCTGTAGGTAGCCCCTGCATCCAGTCTCTGTGATCCAGGTATAACTATGGTAACTCTAATTGAGCTTTCAGAATATATTTTTAGGTTCCTTCTTGCATATTACAAACGACCATCCACCATCCCTCTGACTCCAGGACATCTGTCTCTATCCCAAGTCTGCTCCTTATCACTCTCCTTGCTTGGATGTTCTAAATTTTTTTTCCTGCCTTATTCTTCAAAAACGTGGTTCTCTGCTAACTAACATGCAGGCCTTTGTGGGGTACACTGGGTGGGGAGGGAGAAGCTATAATAAATCTGTTCACTGCACAGATAGAGGACTCTCATTAACAGGGATCTTGGTGTGTAATGTATCTAGATGACACATACATAAACTTGTATGAAGAGAAAGAGGCTTTAGAGTTCTGCCTATGCTGCTAGAATGTAGACTTCAAAGAGAGTAAGACTTACAATGAAACAGCTGCACTGACCACTGGCCGCAGCAAATCACTGAGTGAGTGGCAAGGATGGAGAAAGAAAGGAGGTGAGAAAGACCAAGTCCTGGCCCTAAGTAAATCCTAAGGACAAACTAATATAATATAAAATAGTGTAGCCTGATGCATGAAATTTGCACAAGAGTAGGCCTTTGCAGCCGCTGTGGCTGCCTCGATCCCTCCCTCACAGCCACTGCGGCTGACTTGATCCCACAGCTATAATACAATCCTGATTTCATCAGGAAGGTTGTCCAGAGGATGTCAGGATGGTTGTTCAGGTTTTCGGCCATTCAGTCAATTTGCATATTACTCTTTTATTATTATAAATTAGAACTTCAAATGCATTCCTGCGAATATCGAAGCATCTCTGCTCTAGTTCAAAGATCTTATAATAAGAAAACACATTTCTTCTTAACATTGGATTGTGCATCAGATAAAAATGTGGTTGCTGAATAAAGAACAATGTAATCCAACTTCCCAGCATCCCTGTATTCTTGATGGCTGCTACATTATTACTCCACTGCTGTCACTGTAGGTCTCTCCATGTGGGGTCTGATGCCTTTCACCCCATTTGTTGCAAACTGGAATCATGATTGACCTCAGGAGCCAAGTCTGCATAAGTCTTATCCAAGTCACACTTCACAAAATATTTCTCAGGCTCCAAAGGCTGTATTATTTTATTTCTTTAATGTTTTCTTTGCCTACTTGCACTCTGCTTTTCCTTTTCTCCCCTTCCAACCTCTTACCCCAACTTTTTCCCCCCTTTTTTACCCTTCATATCTTTTATCTTTTTTCATTTATCCATTCTATCCTTTTTTTCGCTTCCATTGTCTCTTCCTCTTGTCAACTCTTGTCTTCTTTCTTTTACTCTTTCTCCTCTTTTTTCTCTATTTTTTTCTGTTCTCTTTCTTCTTTGTTTTCTACCCTCCCCCACCCCATGAAAAAATTTCCATCCAACCTTTATATGCCTAAAGCATATTTTACATCATTAAAACAAATGATTTCACAATTTGCTCAAAAAATATTAACTGGTGTCTCTGATAAATCCAACAATAGTGTTCTTTTAATGTGTATTTGTTTTCCCTTAGTCAAATGTACAACTTAATTTTAAAATAGCCCTAAAATATAGAGAGAAAGGCAATAAAGTAGATCAGCAGCACTCATGTCTTTCAGGATGGCAACATCAGAACCAGCTTGCCATCACAGAAAGCAAATCACCTACCCTTGGTTTCCTGAACACTAATTATCTCAAGCCCTTAAGATAAAAAAATAATTTTTCTGAAACCAATTAAGGTATTCACTTTTAATGAAAGCTTTTTAAACTCTCCACATTTTGATTAAAAGAATAAACTAGTCATCAACATCTTAAAATAGTCACAGAGAAGAGGCTTACCACAGCAAGGCACCTTGGGTAAAGGTCCCCAGAGTCACCCCGTCTTTTACCAGCACTGCATCTCATACAGCATTCCCTCAACTTTAACATAGATTATTAATATAAATGAGGTCTAGGCCTGACCAGCGTGGCTCAGTGGTTGAGTGTCTACCTATGAACCAGGAGTTCACTGTTCGATTACCAGTCACATCACAATGCCTGGGTGGCAGGCTGGGTCCCCTGTGGAGGTTTGCCAATCAGTGATGCTCTCTCATCATTGATGTTTATATCTCTCTCTCCCTCTACCTTACTCTCTAAAATCAATTATATATATACTAGAGGCCTGGTGCACGAATTCGTGCACTAGTGAGGTCCAGCCCGCCCGCCCCAATGGAGGCCATTGGGGGTGGGCCCAGCCGGGGCAAGAGGCCATGGGCAGTTTGCCAGTCAGCCCCGCCCTGGATTCGGGGGGCCTGTTTGGGGGGAGTCAGCCAGAGCAAGGGGTGTGGGCATTCTGATCATTCTGCCATTCGGTCAATTTGCATATTACCCTTTTATTATATAGAATATATAAATGGGGAAAAGAAAAATAGTAATGGAGGATTTCTCAGCCCCTCATCCCATATCATGCACTGAGTCACCTCCATATTTTTATTTCTCTTACCACAGGTTGAACTGGGCCTCCAAAAGTAGGCAACTGATAGAAATGGAGACTATAATACCATTTTTCTTAACCATTAATGTGACTCTGAATCATCTGGCGGACTTGATAAACAAATGGATCCTAGCCCAAAAGATTATGATTTAATAGGTCTGAGACAGAGACAGAGAATGTACCCTTTTTGTAAATTCTCAGACCTGCTGATGCTGCTGGTGTCATGCTTTGGGAATCACTGGCATAGTGCAGACATCATAAGCTCTGGTGTCACTCAGACTTGGTTCCACATGTTACTTGTTTAGGTAGCTCCTTCTGAATCAGTGGCCTGTATGATCTTATCTCGACATATTTGAATAATGACATGTACATTGCACAGATTTGGGTATGATTGTTTTCTTTCATCTTTTGTTTTTGAGATATATGCATAGCAATCATGGAGTTAAAACAAAAATGAGTTACTGTAATGTGACCACAAATAGTCATCTCACTTTTGTGTTCCATCAAAGAGGATCATTTAAGGTTGACCTACATACCTCCCAGGCAGTGATCTGGGTTTTGAGCTATGTAACTATGTGTTAGAAAAGATGCAGAAAAATATAAGGTATTATCTTTATACTGACAGTCTCAAATTTAACTGCATGCTGCTATCAATTGGGGAGCTTTAAAAATTACAAACAGTTGGTATCATGCTTTGTGATTCTGATTTAATTGCTCAGAGAAGAAGCTTGAGCAACAAGATTTATAAAGTTCTCCAGGTAATTATAATGTTCAGCCTAGACTATAAAGCATTGAACTGGGTATATAAGGTGTAAGGTGATTCAATCACACACACACACACACACACACACACTCACTAATGGATCTAATTGTAATAAGTCCTATAATGTCAAATATCAATGATTATATTTGCTATGTTGGAACCTTATAAAGTCCTTAATAGATGGGATAGTTGGGTATGTGTGAGGTGTGGGGAATGAGAGTAACAGGTCTTACCTCTAGTGATTCTGATTCATTTAAGTCTGGGGTGATGCTCAAAAATCTGTTTTTTTTATTATTATTAAATATATTTTTATTGAATTTTTACAAAGAGCAAGAGAGAGGGATAGAGAGTTAGAAACATTGATGAGAGAGAATCATCATTGATCAGCTGCCTCTTGCACAACCCCTACTGGGGATGTGCCCACAACCAAGATATATGCCCTTGACTAGAATCAAACCTGGGACCTTTTAGTCCACAGGCCAAAGCTCTATCCACTGAGCCAAACCAGTTTTGGCAAGAATCCTTTTTAAAAACAAACAAAAAAAACCTTTTTAATAAAATAAAATTTTATTTTAGTAGCTAATAGAAGGCCATGTTTGAGAACCAATGACCCAGAAGGTCAAACAGGTATTTATATATATGATTTATAAACCCTTTCAAATCAAGCATAAGTTTAGTTCAATTTTAAGTGATTGTGAATGGTCTACTGGGACATGCAGTTTTACTGGTAATATGGCTATGCATCTTTCCTATCATTGATTAATAATTTGTGGCAAATTCTTCCCATCTTTTAAGGCACAGGATGAGAGACAGGCGCAAATGCAAAGTGGGACAAAAATAGGTTTACAGTTGTGAGTACACAAAGCACAGTTTATTCTTGTATTATTATTTATTAATTATTAGAGACCCAATGCACAAATGTCATGCAAGAGTAGGCCTTCCGTCTCCCACTGCCTGCACCAGCCTCCCTCTGGCACCTGGGACCTGGGCTTCCCTCACAACCCTAACTTCATCTGGAAGGACATCTGGT